TGCGGTAATAGCCCTTGTTTTGTGAACGCTGGGGTTAAAAGGATCTAAATGCTCTAAATTAATCAAGAAAGTAATGCCAGACAAAATAAATAGATTTTTTTTTAAACAAAAAAACTTTACAGTTGCAAAACTTATTTTGTTTTACATAAAACATCTTTACTCAGTGTTCTCTTTACATTGTGGTAGAGTAACCATGGGTAAGTTAAAATTAATATCAACTTGCAGCTTCGAATTTTGCACGGGTTGTGTCACCCTACTAAAAATCACTTGTTTGGGCAATCGGATATTAGTCCAATCGATATAGGATCGTATCAGTAATTGTTGTCAAAAGTAACTATACAGTATCTGCAAAAAGAGAGGATTAATAAGAAAAATAATGGATAAAGTTGGGTGGTTATTGCTGTCTTTATTACATTACACTGAACAGTTTGACAAAAACAAGATAAAATTTTTGAATTATTCTTGTTGAAGAAAAATATTTAACTATTTTAACCATATTTTCTAGATTTGAATTCTTAAATTGTAAGTTTTCTACACATTAGAAATTATTTCAGGAAATAAAACATTTAATATAGAATATTTATTTTCTAACTTTAATTCACATTTATTCTGTCATGAATAAAATATAATATACTTTTGTGATATCAATGCAAATAAAAACTGGAAAAGTTCCGTTAGCCAACTAAAATATTGAAAATGAACGAAAAATTCATTTACAAAAACAAACAAATTATATGTCAAAATAGTATAGGGTATAGGTTACAAAGGTTTTAAAAAATATTGAAATTCATTTAATGAAAGTAAAGACCTGTTATTTTTTTTAGTTAAAAAGATGTTTTACTGAATAGGCTTTAAAAAGTACATAACGTGACCAGCCCTAGTTCTAATTTATGAATGTTCTGAAAACTACCAAATTTGAATTTAATCGAACCATATTAATTCTTTGGATGAAGATTAAATTCACTATTAGGGATCTTAAGGGACTATTTACGTTATTTCAAGGGACCATCCATTGAAAGAGTTGTCTTTGTCAGAACACAAATGATTAAGTTATTCTTGTTTTTCTATCTAAAATTGACAATTTTTAATCGTGTTTTTTTCTGAATTTTAAGGAGTCCCTTTAAATTCATTATCAGGGTAATGGTTTGAAATTACTAATCATGATTAAATTTCTGAATAAGCCTATCATTGTGTTAATTCTTAATATGCTGGATCATCTTAGCAAACCGAAATGTCATGATTGTGCAGGTGCTTACTAATTTTCTGCTTACAATTGCATCGCAAAATTTAAAAAAAGAAACTTGTCTGGTCCCAGATTTGATGATTTTCAAAAGTTGAACTACGAAGAGGTGATTCAACCAATTATCTTTATGGCTGGTTCATCTTGAAGTTTTTAAATTTTATAATACTAGTGACTTAAGTGCCGAGTAGAGATGTCAACGTTAATGTAACGTAACGTAAAATGTACGTTTTTGTACGTTACGTTACATTAACATTTGGATATATTCTATATGACATAAACGTTCAACCTTAATGTTATCTTTTAGTTTTTTGGGACATTAAAGGTTTTTGATTTGCCAAGGAAGACGACATTAACGAAATTTGACATATGCATTTGATGTTATAAAGCAAATGATTTACAAATAGCAAGAAAAAACTTATTAAGTGGAACGGGTCTGTATAGTGTATACACAACACAATTGCTGTGTTTCATGTTTATTTGACTATTTAAAATCATAGCTTCAGTTGGCAAGGTTAATTTTTAGTTTTAAATATCTATAAATATAGATACTTATTGAAATGCAAAAATATTTTATCAATTGGAAAATGCGTGTCATGTTTTTTCGTCAATAGATTTTTATGAAACTTTAAAATGGAAAACTTATAGTTAATCAATTGTAGTTCAACTGGGGGAAGGAAGTTCAGCAACATCTTTCAAATTCATTAAATTCGGTCCCATGTATTAATATTTTTTTGGATCAATTTCGTTCAGATCTACTTTGTCCCAAGGATGTAATGCAAGGAAAGTTATTTTAAAAGTGTACACATCTTTTGTACTGCAGTGTACTGTCTCTGGGCGGTAATGTAAACACAAGACGGATGCCAAAGCCTGACATGGGATCCATCTTTCACATAAAAAAAATCAATGAAATATTCTGGTCATAGGAAACTATTATGTGAATTATCAAAATTATCAAAATTTAATGCTTTTAACCTCCTCGGATACTTAACGAACTCTGATACATCTATTCTTGTTTACAAATTCCACCCAAAGAGAACTGGTTTCAATGTGTACGCAGAGTATACACGACCGCAATTAACTTTCCTTGTATTACACCCTTGATTTGTCCTGTCTGTATAATATTCAAAAACCCCGTATTTCTGCATAACAAATTTATGATAACTTATGAAATTTTATTAATGGTACTTTATTTAATGATTCAAACTTCTAAAATAAAACCCCAATTTAGAGGTTTGCACAATCCAATATGATGTGGGATACCCTATATAATGTCATGTAAAGTATTGTCTCGACTAAATAATAAAATACTGTTACTAAGGCAAATATGATAAATGTTCTGCCTGTAAACTGTCAGATACAGGATTCTGTATTTAATCCGTAGAAAACTCTTTTTGTTCCTAGTTGGGAGAAAATAAAGATTTGTTAATCTAAACTATATTTTCCTTGCCATCTCAAGTTTAAAATGTATTTTTCAAGAAAAAGACGATTTTTCTCATTTAGAAGACATCATTTCAAGTGACCCTCCTTATAAAGAGATAAACGCTCGATGCACAAGGTTACCACTGACATCTTTGTTGAAGTAAAAATTATTGGAGTTATCTCCCTTTTTTCTATCTTAAGATTGATTATTTTCAAGGGCGGTTCTCTAATCTGATTTTCGGCTTCATGCAGTCGGAGAGAATAAAGGCTATTGTAGAATTCAATAACAGACTCAATATGGATATTGAGAAAAAAATATTTGTAAAGTTTGAATATTATTAATTTAAAGAAGAAAACTAAGCAGATATATAATGGATAAAGTTGGTAGTTATTACTGTTTTTTATTACATTACTCTGCAAAATTTGAAATAAACAAGATAAGAATAAATGGGTTGCTTATTTGTTAATTGTTAAAACCTCAAGACACGAAATTAATGCTCAAGTAAACCGGATATTTATGCACAAACTTTTAAGTAAAACGTAAATAGTTTAATTCCAGGGACAAGCAGGATAAATTATAAATAGATTAATTTAACCCGTCTGGTGGAATGGAACCGAGTGAGCGTGTTCAAAACAGATTTAAGTAGACATTTTTTACCTCTATTAAGTCGTTCCTAAGACTTAATTTCTAACAAACAAAACTATTACCAATGGCTTAAAATAGCCTTTATGCTTTTAGAATTCGAATATATTGAATCCTGTCAATACTCTAAAGAGACTTATTCCGAATGCTGTATTGAAACCTTTTAGACTGGTCCATTTAACTGGCATGTATAGAGTCAAACTTATTTACTTTTCATGCCAAACCTTTCTCAGCCATTTATTGGAATCTCTTGAGAAATTCCTTTGATATTTACAGTGCTGGGTTTGGGGAAACTAGAAAATAGAAAATACTGGTTAACTTAGGAATACAAATAGGTTCTCTTTTTGTGCAAATTCCACATTATATAGAATCATAAAAAGAGAAGTTTTTATGAATGCTAATTTCTCGAATGTACGTGTTCAGATAGAAGTTTTTAGGAATGCTAATTTCTTGAATGTACGTGTTCAGATAAAAGTTTTTAGGAATGCTAATTTCTCTAAGGTACGTGTTCAGATAAAAGTTTTTATGAATGCTAATTTCTCGAATGTACGTGTTCAGATAAAAGTTTTTAGGAATGCTAATTTCTTGAATGTACGTGTTCAGATAGAAGTTTTTAGGAATGCTAATTTCTCGAATGTACGTGTTCAGATAGAAGTTTTTA